AAACGATGAGCCTAGATGGCCTAGCTATCTCCTTGGCGTTTCAATTCTCAAGGTCATTCGCTCTCTGTCGTAGGCCTATTGTAGCCAAAATATCACCCTTGAAATGGCGACAGCTGCATTCGTCTCAAAGGTTCGTATTGTAGAATTCACGGCTACTTCAGAGTGCATTGCCCATAGTAGAAAGGCCCCAATCTGCCGTCTAATGTAAAAACTTTGTTGAAGGTGGTAATTTGCATGAGATTTCGAGCTTCACCCTGCCATCTTATCGGTTCACACTCTCTATTTCATGTATATAGGTGACGTTTTAATAGCGCAAGGAACTTGCTGTTTTTATCATAGACAGCTCCGAGCTAACACAAAGTGCACATCCTCCAACGGGCCAAAATTAAAGCCACGATCGGTTCAAAATGCCCCTATATTGTTACAGGTGCAATGTATCGAGGTAGCGAGGATTGCACTAAGTTGGCAAAAGATTACAACGCATGAGTGAAGGCATGAGCGAATACTTATAGGCGAAACATGCAGGTTCTATCGGCCTCAGGAGCAGTGGTCGCGATGGTGGACCTTCTACCGGACCCTGCCAGTACGTGCTTCTTACTGGTACGTGCCGCGGCTTCGCCCGCAGGCATTCTCATCCTGCCGAGCAGTGCATTGGCTGCCTCATTGACCTCTACCGACAACGCTTCGGAAACGGAGCACCCACTCAAGACTGGGATCCACTAATCTGTTGAGGCATGCAAGTGTTTACTATGGATATGTCTGATGTGCAAGCTGAATTGTACTCTACCCCTGTCTGTATGCTGATGGTTATAGTGTGGATGACTGGTATTACTCGTATGTGCCTAGACTAGGCTCTTGAGATATCTCTGGTGTAGGATCTGATTTTGTTGCTTGTCGAGGCCCGCCGACAACCTCGTCACTCTCCTTCACGCTTGACTCTGGTCTTGGTGCTTTTTTTGCAACCACACCGACCTCTCGCCACTTCCAGCTCTAGTCGCAGATGCTTTAGCCGACCCCTCTTCTAGACCATTTGTCACTTCCAGCGCTAATACTCTCCCATGTACGGCAATCCCCTCTGGGTCTCTTATAGGTATGTCCATCACCTCATTCTCCAAGAAATTGGTGGGTGGTGATTGTCTTGAGGACCTCGGCCTCACCACCATGTTTGATGTACACGAGCGGTTGACAACCAGTACGGATGCTGCCACTTAGGCACCTCTTGCCACATGTCCCTGGGAGCCAGTATTGGGTATTTTCATGATGCGCATCGCGTCCCCTCATGTTGTTGCGTCTGGTCAGGTAGCTGTATCGTGCTCTTGTTGGTCGCTCATCTACCTATCACTCCTGTGGCACCACCGCCTTGATTACCCCTCCTTTGTCGGCACGAGCCAGGCCTGATCGTCGCGATTTTCTTCCGGCCGATTTCCACGCCGTTGGCCAAAATCACATGGCCCAATTACTCCAGTCTATCCTGAAATAAACCACACTTAGAGGCTTTGGTTAGAAAGCGGTTCTCACTCAGTGTTTGGTAGTCTATATAGGCTATCAGTATATTGTCTAAGTAGACGATCACACACTTATCTGAGAGTGGGCGGAAGGCTTCGCTCATGGTTATTCTGAAGGTGGTGGGGGCGTTGGTCAGTCCAAAAGGCATCACGTGTCAGAGTTATATGACTTCGCCTGTGTAGGCTGTAGTGGGGTAGCACATATGGGGTACAACACATTTCTAGGGTTTCCTACTTGTACCCACTTTTTGCCTAGTGAATTCATTCCTCGTTTCTTCACATGGTATAGAGCAGGTTCCCTAGTGGGAACGCTTCCTAGGGCCCACCACGATCATTTTTTTTTTTCCTGCCCGGAGCACGCTTCGCTTCTGCCCGAGTCGCGCCCCGTGTGCCCTCCCTCCCGTCGCGTCCCTAGCCCTTAGCGGCCCGTCGCGCCCTCTTACGGCCCCTCGCGGCCCCTTTCACAGCCCCTCGCGGCCCCTTCGCGCCGCCCTTAGCGGCCCCTCTTACAGCCCTTCGCTGCCCCTTACGGCCCCTCGCGTCGCCCTTCGCGGCCCCCTCGCGGCCCCTTCGTGGCCCGTCGCCGCCCTTCACGGTCCCGTCGCCAACCTTTGCGGCCCCTCGCGGCCCCTCCACGGCCCCGTCGCTGCCTCCGCGGCCCTGTCGCCACCCTTCACGGCCTTGTCGCCGCCCTTCGCGGCCTCTCGCGGCCCCGTCTTGGCCCCGTCGCCGCCCTTCACGGCCCCTCACGGCCCCGTCACGGCCCCTTCGCCGCCCTTCACGGCCCCGTAGCCGCCCTTCGCGGCCCATCGTCGCCGCCCCTGCAGCAGCAGCCGCCGCCGCCCCTGCAACAGCAGCCGCCGCCGCCCCTGCAGCGGAAGCCGCCACCACCGGAGCCGCCGACAGCAGCGGCCGCCGCCACCTCAGCCAAGGCCGCAGCCGCCGCCACCGCTGACTGCAACAGCCGGTGCGCCTCGACCATGCCGGCGCGCCTCGGCCCGTCCCTACCGGCGCGCCTCGGCCCGCCCCTACCGGCGCGCCTCGGCCCTACCTGCGCGCCTCGGCCCGTCCCTGCCGGTGCGCCTCGGCCCTGCCCCACCACTTGCGACCCTCTGCCCTGGTAAGAGCATCGCCGCGCTGCGCTGCTACTGCTGCCACTACTGCTCCTACTGCCACTGCTGCTCCTGCTGCCACTGCTGCTACTGCTGCCACTGCTGTCATGGCTACCCCTAGCGTCCTCGTCTTTGATGCTGAGGGTCGGGCTGTTGACTTTGAGGTCTGGGTCGATGATCTGCAGCTTTCCCTACAGTGCGATAGGAAAGACGGCCTCTCCCTATTCGATCTCACGTCTGGTGCCTCTTAGCGGCCCCGTTGCCGCCCTTCCAGGCCCCTTGCGGCCCCTTCGCGGCCCCGTCGCCGCCCTTCTTGGCCCCTCACGGCCCCTTCGCGGCCCCGTCGCCGCCCCTTTCGCGGCCCGTCGCCGCCCTTCCAGGCCCCTCGCGGCCCCTTCGTGGCCCCGTCGCCGCCCCTATCGGCCCCGTCGACGCCGCCAGCGGCCCCGTCGTCGACCCTAGCGGCCCCGTCGCCGCTCCTATCGGCCCCGTTGCAGCCGCCAGCGGCCCCGTCGCCGCCGCCAGTGGCCTCGTCGCCCACCCTAGCGGCCCCGTCGCCGCCACTTGCGGCCCCGGCCCCGCCCCGGCCACACCCCGTCGCCAACCGCGGCGCACAGGGGGCACGTGCACCGCCCCCCCCCCCCCTTTTCCCGCGCCCAGGGAGGCTGCGCGTCGCCCCCCCCCCCCCCCCCCCCGTAACCTCCCTACCCGCCATCCCGCCCTGCCCTGTGTTCGGGTTTGGGGGTGGCGAGTGGGGGGGTGGCGGGTGTGTGGTCTCCCCTGCTCCTCCTCCTCTGTCTCCCACTGCTGCAGCTGCCGCTGAGGGGGGTGGGTGTGTGGGAGTCGACGGAGTGGTGCCAGGGGGTGGGGTGTGAGTGAACCTAGGGGTGCAGTAGGGGGTGTGTGAAATGGGGGTGGGATAGTTTGGGGAGGTTGAAAGGGGTGGCCGCCGAGAAGCCAGTAGCTCCAGTCGCCCGTGAGACCGTTGCGCCAGTCGCCCGTGAGCCCGTTGCGCCAGTCGCCCGTGAGCCCGTTGCTCCAGTCGCTCGTAAGTCCGTTGCTCGTCTTCCGCTACTTTTAGTCGCAGAGCCAGTTACTCCATTAGCCCGTGTGCCACTTGCGCTTGTTGCCAGTGTGCCAGTTGCTCTAGTTCCTATCAGAATATTATAGCTTATGCTGTTTTGTAGGCTATAGTGGGGTATCCCAAAGGGGGTACAACCCAATTAGGGTTTCCTATATGTACTCACTTCATTCATAGTTCATTCATTCTCGTTCTACTTTTCTCATGGTATCGAGCAGGTTCCTCCGTGGGAACTGTGCCTAGGGCCCACCACATCGATTATTTTTTTCCTGCCCGAAGCGCGCTCGGCCTGAGTCGCGCTCCGGGCCCTCTCTCTTGCTTTGTCGAGCCGCCCTAGAGGCCCCGCCGCCCGTCGAAAAGGCCCCGCCGCCTCACACTCACGCGGCCCCGCTGCCTCCCTCGTCGCGGCCCCGCCGCCTCTCTTGACGCGGCCCCGCCGCCCTTCGTCGCGGACCTGCCGCCCTTCGTCGCGGCCCCGCCACCCCTCGTTGCGGCCCCGCCGCCTCTCTCATCGCGGCTCTGCCGCCCTTCGTCGCGGCCCCGCCACCCCTGGTCGCGGCCCCGCCGCCTCTCACGTCGCGGCCCCGCCGCCTCTGCAGTCGCGGCCCTGCCGCCCTTCGTCGCGGCCCCGCCACCCTCCTTCGCGGCCCCGCCGCCTCTCTCGACGCGGCCCTGCCGCCCTTCTTAGCGACCTTGCCGCCCTTCGTCGCGGCCTCGCCGCCTCTTCTTCGCGGCCCCGCCGCCTCTTCTTCGCGGCCCCGCCGCCTCTTCTTCGCGGCCCCGCCACCTCTCCTTCGCGGCCCTGCCGCTCTTCGTCACGGCCCCTGCCGCCCTACGTCGCGGCCCCTGCCGCCCCTCGTTGCGGCCCCGCCGCCATTCTTCACTGCGGCTCCGCCGCCCTGCACCGCCTGCTCCGCCCGAACCACCTGAGCCGCCCGAGCCGCCCGAGCCACCTGAGCCGCTGAGGAGCCGAGCCGCCCGAGTCCCCTGTGCCGCTGAGGACCCGAGCCGCCCGAGCCGCCTGTGCCGCTGAGGACCCGAGCCGCCCGTGCCGCCTGTGCTGCTGAGACCCGAGCCGCCCGAGCCGCCTGAGCCACCCGTGCCGCCCGAGCCGCCTAAGCCGCCCGAGCCGCCTGAGCCGCTGGTACAGCGGAGCTGCTGTTGCTGCTGGGCCGTCCGAGCAGCAGTGTTGCCGTGTTGTTGTGCTGCTTAGCTGCTCGAACCGCCCTGTCTGGTGAGAGCAACACCTCTGTCACTGCACTACCCCTGTCCTACAGTCAGTACTGCTAGTCTACTGCTGTCATGGCTACCCCTAGTGTCCTCGCCTTTGACGTTGAGAGTCGGGCCATTGACTTTGAGATCTGGGTAGATGACATGCAGCTGTTCTTACAGTGCGATAGGGCAGACGGCCTCTCTCTCTTTGACCTCACCTCTGGCGCTTCCCCTGCCCCTGCTGCTGATGCTGACGCCACTGTTCGCTCCCAGTGGGCCACCCGCGACGCTGCTGCACGTCTTGCTGTGCGTCGCCACCTCCCTACCTCTGAGCGTGCGCACTTTAGTCAGTACAAGAGTGCTCAGACCTTGTACGACGCTGTAGTCGCGCGCTACTCCTCGCTGCACTGAGCCGTCTCATGCTACCGTACCTCTTTCCTGACCTTGCTGCCTTTCCCACAGTAGCTGACCTTATTACGCACCTCCGCACTAGTGATACTCGCTACCGCGCTGCACTTCCTGCTGAATTCTGCGCGAAGAACCCCCCCCCACGTACATCACTCTCTACTACATGGTCACTCGCCTACTTGACTCCCTTCGTGTAGTCAGGGATCTTTTCCTCTCGGTCTGTCCCACCACTTTCACTGTCGACCTCCTCGAGAAGGCGCCCTCCTAGCGATAGAGAAGAGCATAGTCGCTGTAGGAGCCTCTCGAGGTGACCCGCGCACCCCCATCTTTGAGGGGTGTTCCCCCTCCCCCCTTCTGCCCTCTGTTGTCTCTGCTGCTGCGGCCGACCTCCTTGGTCTTGAGTCCGTCGGTGCGGCGTCTGCCCCTAGCGGGAGACACCGCCCTGGCAAGGGCAAGGGGGGCAAGGGCGGTGGAGGAGCGAGCGGGGGCGGAAGAGGAGGAGGTGGCGGCGGTGGGGGGTGTGGGGGTGGCGGTGGGAGTGGAGGTGGGGGTGGAGGGGTCGGTGGCGTCTGCGTGGTAGCCCCCACTTGCACCCGCCACTGAGGGGTGCGCCGCCAGGAAGCATGAGGTGGCCGCACCCTGAGAGAAGGGAGGAGAGGAGAGTGGGGAGAGGAGGATACGGGGCGGTCAGGTGGAGGTGCAAGGAGTGTGTAAGGGGGGGGGGGGGGAGCGAGGCACAAGGTGTGTGCCTCGAGGCGGCACGATGCGAGAGTGGCTTGAGAGAGAGAGTGTGTGAGAGTAAGAATGGGCAGGGGGGGAAGGTTGAAAGATGAGGGAGCATGAGAAGTAGCCCCACTGGGCTTTGTTGCAGGGAGTGTGCACATGAGCATGGGGATAAGTTGGAACAACCATGCATGGGAAAGTACGCACACCCCCAACCATGCATGGGTGCGTGCGGGCACCCAACCATGCAGCAGTAACAGAGGGCGGTGGTGAGGTCAGGTGAGGTCAGGTGAGGTGAGGTGAGGGGAGGTGAGGTGAGGTGAGGTGAGTAGGGGTGAGGAGGGGTGAGGAAGGGTGAGGAGGGGTGAGGGGTTGGTGAAAGCTGAGGCAGCTCTTCTCCAATCACGTCAAATCGCTCTTGCAGCAGGGTTGGTTGGAGGCATATCAGTAGGGTGCAGAGTAATATAGAGTGTGTGCAGTGCGGTGAAGAGCTACTTTAACCACTCCCCTAAGGTAATGTACGGCAAAGTGCAGTGAGGCGAGGTATGAAGTAGGTGGAGGTGGAGGGTACCTCAGGAATGGTCTTCATGAACCACTGGAACACCAGGCTGTACGCTCCCCCTGGTGGTTGGTTGCACAACATGGCAGGGCAGCAGTGGACAGGCACAAGCACAGGACGAGTGGTAGTATGACAACAATGGGTGCTCAGCCAAGCCGTCGCAGAAGCAAGCTCCAAGCAGCGAGCAGGAGTTACTGCAAAAGAACAAAGCATGCTTGTGCCAAACAGCTTCCATCAAACCATCAGCCCCTCAGACGCCCCTCCTTCCCCCTCTTTCTACACCACCTAATTACCTGGCCGCCCCATCAACTATGTCCCAGGGTGTGCCTTGTAGAAGACACACCGGACAGTCGCTTACGGCACTCTGTAGCACGAAAGGCTTTGCCTTGTACCTCAAAGCGATATTGGCTCCGCGGAACAAGTTCGACACACGTCGCACTTGCTTTCGCGGACTGGTCTAACAGACCAGTATCAACCCCTGCCATTTTCCATGGCGGCCCTGTATAAATGGCTCCGACCCAAACGAACCAGGCCTCAGACCAGTTGTGTTACATGGTAACTATCTAGTGCACTTGCATTGTCCAAGATCTGGCTCACAGCTGGTTCACCCTGGTCCACAGACTACACTGCTTGGACCTCAGCAAACCAACGGTTCTGCAGACCCCATGTGGCATGCCCTGACGCACTTTGCCCTTCCCACCCACCCGCCTACCCACCCACCCGCACAGCACACCCGCCCACCGCCCCACGTACGTCCGAGGGTGTGCCAGATGGTCCCTGGTGGCACAATGTGACGTGAGAGGTTGGTGTCAATCACCCCCGGGTGCAACGCGTTCACTGTCACTCCTGCACCCTCCTCCTGCTCGCATGGATCAAGGGAGAGAAGGGAAGGGGAGAGAGGGGAGGAGGGAGGGTGATGGAGGGTGTTGGCGAGGGAAGCAGGGGGTTTTTCCATTGTTGAAGGATCGATCACCCATGGGTACAGAGCATTTACAGTCATACCTGCACTGAGGTTTTCAAAACAAACAAAAAAAAATCATAAGGGAGAGTGGGGAAGAAGAGGAAGAGATTTTTGGTGAGGAATTTGAGACGTAGCATGAAATGTGCTTTTTGGGCGCGTTTCCCCTGCCTGCTTCGTCCCTTCCCTCCCACTAATGCACACTCTCACGCACACATCCGCACACATACATACCCACCCACCCACCCAACTACACTCACACACACACCCACTCACTCACACAACACCCACATACCCACTCCTTCATACACACCCTCCTCTCCCACAGCCATGCACCTTGAGCCGCCGTGCGAGCTCCCGTGCGTGCAGGATATTAGCGAGCTTGGACTGCCCGTACGCCCTCACCGAGTCGTACCCCTCCTTGGCGTTGATGGCGTCAAAGCGGATGCCGCCCGGGTACGGGAACTGGTGCGCGGCGGAGGACACGATCACGATGCGTGCCTCTGCGCCCTCCTGCTTGGCAGTTTCCTTGAGCTTCGGCAGCAGCAGGTTGGTCAACAGGAAGTGGCCTAAAGGGGGTACGACGTGCGATGCAATTGGGTGGGGGGTGTGTGCAGGGGAAGGGGGGAAGAGGGTGAAAGGGAAGAGAGGGGGAGGGGGGGCGGAGGGACGGAAGAAAGGGGGAGAGGGAGGCAGTGGAGGTGTGGTGCGATCAGCCTGAGAGCTCCATGAGCTTAGGAATGCAACAAATGCACTCAAGCCTAGAAAGAGAACAGCCAACTGGTAGACTCTGCTTCACTCCCACCACTCCCATTCTTCCCTCACACTCCACCCCGCCACCCATGCTGTGCGCATGTAATCTGCTTGCTTGCCTCACCCACTTCATTGCTGCTCCCCTGCACTCACCCTCATGGTCGCTACTCCCCTACACTCACCCACGTGGTTGCCTCCCTGCACTCACCCACGTGATTGGTGCCGAACTGGTTCTCATGACCACCGCAGTGAGCATGAACGGGCATATCATCACGCTCGCATTGTTGCTGCCCGGGGTGGGGTGGGATGGGGAGGGGTTGGTTGAGATTGGGTGGGCCGTGGTGGGATTGGTTGGGCAGGCGAGTGGGGGGTTGTTGCATAGGAAGTGACGAAGGGAAGGGGACGGTGGGGTGGGTTCGGGGAGAGGGGGAAGGTCTGAACGAGAGGAATAAATAAGGTGAAACAGTAGAATGACTAGCATAAAGGGTAGGTGGGCAGGGAAGCAGGGAGGGAGAGAGCGAGGGAAGGAGGGAAGTGTGTTGTGATGGGGCACGGGGCAGCATGGCAGTGGGGCAGCATGGCAGTGGGGCAGCATGGCAGTGGAGCAGCATGGCAGTGGAGCAGCATGGCAGTGGAGCAGCATGGCAGTGGAGCAGCATGGCAGTGGGGCAGCATGGCAGTGGAGCAGCATGGCAGTGGAGCAGCATGGCAGTGGAGCAGCATGGCAGTGGAGCAGCATGGCAGTGGAGCAGCATGGCAGTGGAGCAGCATGGCAGTGGAGCAGCATGGCAGTGGAGCAGCATGGCAGTGGGGCGGCATGGCAGTGGGGCAGCATGGCAGTGGGGCAGCATGGCAGTGGGGCAGCATGGCAGTGGGGCAGCATGGCAGTGGAGCAGCATGGCAGTGGGGCGGCATGGCAGTGGGGCAGCATGGCAGTGGGGCAGCATGGCAGTGGGCAGCATGGCAGTGGGGCAGCATGGCAGTGGGGCAGCATGGCAGTGGGGCAGCATGGCAGTGGGGCAGCATGGCAGTGGGGCAGCATGGCAGTGGGGCAGCATGGCAGTGGGGCAGCATGGCAGTGGGGCAGCACCAACAGCAGATCATTTAAACTCAACTGAACCTGTTATCATAAAAGCCCAATGCCCCTCCATTTACCCCATTCCCCCTATTCCTCCCATTCCCCTCCTCCTGCCCCTCCACCCCGTTCCACCCCTGCCCTCCCCCTTCTTCACCCACTCACCCCCTCCCCCTCCCTCGCCCCCTCCCCTCCCCCCCGCACCCCTTCCATCTCCGCGCGTACATGAGCAGGTGCAGCGGGCGGTTAAGGCCCAAGTAATCCGTGGCGAACCCGCGCACCGACTTGAGCGACGCCAAATCCAGCGGCATCACGCTCACGCGCTCGCGCACCGCCGCCGGAACCCCCGCCGCCGCTGCGCTCCGCCCCTCAATGTCCTTGATGATGGTGGCTTTGGCGGCCTCCCCCGCCTCCGTGTTCCGCACCGCGAGCACCACGGACGCGCCTCGCAGCGCCAGCACCCGCGCCGTCTCCGTGCCGATGCCGCTGCTGCCGCCTGGGGGGAGGAAATTCGCGCCACAAGGGTGTCGGGAGAGGGGGAGGAAGAAGAAATTAGCGCGGCGGAAAGAGAGAGGGGCGACATGCGCGCGTGGGGAGAACATTGGCACGAGGACGAGGTTCGCGCGGGAAGGGGAATTCGCGAGTGCTGAATGAATTTGGGCGCGGGGGAGGAGGAAGGCTGGAGTGGAGGACTGAAATTTTTTTCAGACATGGCACAAACAGCTTTTGAGGCGTCTTACACGCTTTTTCACAATGGCGCGGGGAAGAGACTAGGGTGGAAAAGAAAGGGGAGTGGAAGTACGGGCAAGGGCGAGAGGACGGGCGGACGAGCGGACGAGCGGATGAGAAAGATCAGTTTGATTGAGAAAGGCGAAGACGAGAAAGAAATGCAAGGGTGGTAAAGACTCGTTGGGTGGAAGGTAGGAGAGTGGGAGAGAATAGCTCATACTGCCGCTGCACTTGCTGCTCCCGTGCCTCACATCTGCGGTATCAAAGCATCCCTACCCCTCACCACCTCCCCCTTCTCCCCCCCCGTCCCCTCACCACCTCCCCCTCCTCCCCCCCCGTCCCCTCACCACCTCCCCCTCCTCCCCCCCCGTCCCCTCACATGTCCTCCCTTCTACCGTGCCCTTTTATCCTTTCCCGTACCACACAAACACGCAGGATATTTGTGATCCACATTCTCTCCCCTCACCCCCGTATTTCCCCCCTCTTTTCCCCGTTTCTCCCCGTTCCTCTCCAATTTGTCTCCTGTTTCCTCCCGTTTACTGCATACGGCGAAACCGAATCATCGATGCTCTTACCCGTTACGATTGCCACTTTGCCGCTCAAATCGACGCCCGCCGTCACATCTTCCGCCGTCGACCGGTAGCCGAACTTTGACGGATCAGCAACCGCTGACGTTGACGTTGACGGACTGGAGGCGGAAGCCATAACGGCGTGGGCGCGCGGAGCCGAGAGGATCAGAGTGGGAGCGAGGGGTATGGCGAGTAGAGCCCAGCGGTAGTGTCG